GAATTATTAAATGCAATTTTATTTTGGACATTACTCGGATGTAATGACATAATATATATCATGTATACACAGCTTACAGTATTATCAACATATTTGATTTATAGCTAATTTATAAAATAACAAAATAATATTTAAAAAATACCCTTTATCACAAAACAATGTTACACTATTCAATAGTAGCGTGTGCGCGTATTTCGGTAGCAATATCATCAGCACTCACAACAGACTGAGAACGATTACGAGCTAACATCTACCTCTATACACCAGCACTTATCTATTATACAGGAAGTGGTGACTCACCGTCACTTAAGTGTTTTTACAAATGCTCAATATATTAGACCTAATTTAGCAAAATTTGTTTTATTGTTTAACATTCCTATGTTGCCTCCCTTGTATTAAATTTGTTAGGATTAATTAAATTTTCAGCAATTTCACTGATTTAAGACTATGATTAGTATCCAATAAAATCAAAATAATTTTTTTTTAAATAAGAATATTGACTAATATGAAAACCATACTATTGAATGTGGCCATCAGTGATTTAAATCTTTGGGTATGTAGATACCTAATCATAATCATTTTCTTAAGAAAGAACATAGAAGTCCATCGTAGTAGATAATCTAGTATAATAATTAAAATATTAAAACTACGTATTGAATTTTATATTAAAATGTTAATAAAAATATATAATATATAGGTAAAATATTTTTGTTTACTCAAATGTTCCAACAAAATTATAATAATTGTTTCATGAAATACCTTTGAATTTTATGGTTTAAAAATCATTTTAAAAGTGATTAAAAAAAAATGTAGTGTAGAATGCACGAAAAAGATTTACAATTTATTTATAATATTATCGGTTTAAAGGAAAAAATGAAGTTAATTTGAATTAACAAATGTTAATCTCGTTTAACTGGAAATAATAATAGAAATAAATCATTTATATAAAGGTAATATGCAATTATTTAAATGACTACGAGTATCACCCTCGCAAACAAACAAGCATTTATAAGATATGAGTACATAAATGTAAAGAAAATCAATTCTTTTTTACCTTTTCTACAAAAACATGTCCAGATAAAAACGATTTATGGAAAATCATTTTATTTAATCAGACCTTTCTCAAATACTTATTTGTTTCTCTGCTTGAAAATTTCTAGAAAAATACTAACGAAATCAAACCTAATAGTATTGATATATAATGTAATATTTATAAATAATGTATGGTATATGCTATATATATATATTTATTTGACTGGTGTGTTTACATTTAAATACTTTTACTCAAATACTTTACAAAATTGGTTCATTAGGATTATTAATCAATAGTAAGTATATCACATTACATTTGGAATATTATTGGTAAAAATAATCAATATAATATCGATTAGAAAACGATTTCCTATTACTGGCTAATTATGTAATTCCAACTATTATGTTTACTCAAAATAAAAAATACAGGTTATCAGGCAAACGTGAACCTTTTTTTTTTTATCTAAAAGCGTTTACTCAGCAATTCATTAGGCCGGTCTTGTGTTTTCTTTCCCACGGAAAATATTCAGCAGTTTATCGGTTACTTCAATTTCTTATAGTTTGTGTTAGTACCGCATACGTGTAAGTTCACTATACATCATTCTGTCAGAATTTTTTCACTGCTATGCCCGGATAATTTGCCTGCTTAACGCGTCCGACGTTTTTACAACAAAAAAAAAACCTTATTGTCCATCCCCTGTGTTAACGCACACGCACACTTCTAATACATCCGTAAACGATTGTCGTGATGCTCTTATCATCCACAGCTCATAAAGACTCATTCGTCACTTGCCGCCATTACAGCAAATTACTTTTAATCCGTTTATATTTATACTCCTATACATGTATTCTCTATGTGCAGGTACTGTATTGAATATTATGTATAGATAGCACTATAACCTGTTTGTTGTCAATTTATGTAAAAGCTACTTGTATATGCACAGGTTATAACGAAGAAATCGGGTTGAAAACCATTTATAAATATCTTATTAATAACTAATTAAGAGCCGAAGAGCTTTGAAATGGTTCGGGTAACAGGTTTTCGTTTAAATATTAAACTAAAATACTACAACGTTTTGCCAAAGACTACCGTATAGTCAACCCACGAACAGATAAAATACACAACACGAATTGGCTTTGAGGACTTTTTAGCATACGTAATAATGTTGTTACATACATATGTAAGTATTTAAAAAATAGTTTATCAAATCGTAAACTATAGGGTCGAATCGTGTATTATTAAAATTCATTTAGTTTGTACATTGTACCCGTTTGTAAAATATGAAAATGAAATATACCAAAAAATGAGCGACAAATCCAAAAACGGGCGTTGTCCGTATATGATATTATCTGTATTTATACCTACTATATTTGATATTTGATATGATACAGGGTATTTTTTTTTATCACGGGCCAGTCCACATCTCACTGAGTTTAATTAATTATTGAATTTTTTTTTTCATAGTGTTTTTATATAATGTGATCTCAATTTTCCACATATTATTATGTTTCTACCCCCCTCCCAAACTAGTTTTTTTATTAGTAGTATATAATATTGTAGTATTATTTTTATCTGCGCGCTTCTCCTCCCATCCTAACTTTTGAACTCTTATAACTTTTAAAATAATTATCTAAAACTGGTTATCAACAAGTCAAATTTTTTAGTGAAATAATTAATTTAAAAAGTTTAAAAAATATATACGTTACCATTTAAGTTTCAAAAAAACTAGTTTGGAAGGGGGGTAGAAACATAATTATTTGTGGAAAATTGAGATTACATTATATAAAAACACTATAAAAAATAATAAATTTTAACTAAACCCAGAGATATTGAGTAGCCTATGATAAAAAAAAATCACCCTGTATATTGCAATTAATAAATTGTGTATTTTTTCTTAAATAAAAAAACATACCCAACAGTTTTCACAATACATCAGGTTAAAAAAGGTACAATGGCGGTTACATGTAGCAGTTTCATGGCATGACGAACAATGAGAGCCAGACAGAGCGCACGTCCTTGAGTAATTAAATTTATCGAGTTGTATTTTTTCATTAGAGAATTTGCTCTGAACTTTACACACCCATCACAATTTTCAATAAGTGTCAATTAATAAAGCAGTACAAACTTAACTACACACAATATCGCAATATTAAACGTTTACTCGACGTTAAAATATTTTTTATAATGTAATCCGAGTGTATATGATTTTAATTTCAATTTTAAAACAGTACCGTGTATTAAAAAAAAAAGTATGGCCGACCAGCTTGATTTTTTCATAAGATATACTTACTTGTATTCAAACTTATAATGACTTACTTAATGACAGGGTGATTTTATATGATTACAATAGATATTTGACTGGGAGTACGGCGTAGTTCTCAGCTTGACTATATTTCGTTGCTTTATCGTATAGTAGTTTTTATTATTTTACAAAGTTAATTTGATTACCATTTCGCAGATTACAGTTGTTAATAGTAATCGGACCGCGATAATTAAGCTGTCTTATAGTTTTTATTGTATTTGAAATCGACCTTATATTTTCAATACTATTGTTGTATTTAATTAAACCCTTGTTACGAGCATTAAACAATTACACTGAAAACGTTTGCCGGCAGCGTTCAACCGAAAAACATCATGACCGATAATTAATTTTGCCGAAGTACGTCAAAAAAAAAAATGTTGAAAATCGAGTGGGAAAATAACATGACAATGACTTGTTCGATTAAAACGTAATAGTTATTATTTTTGTCGAATAAAGTTTTATACTCTAAGGTAGTATAATTAGACTTGTGTATAAATGTAAAAAACAAAATTACATAGTTTATTTTATGATCTGATGATTAATGGCGAAAAAATATAATACATTACTGCGGAGGAAAGATTATTATTTTTGAATTTTCTTAAACTTTTTCGACAATGGTCATTTGCTCTTAGCCAATTTAGTGCCGAGGGATAGTAATGCCTTCCACGTCTGCTTTTGTCTATAGTATTTCTTATTCACTATATGAATATTATTTATAGTCTTTCATAAAATCAAACTATGTAAATCGATATCTACATCAAGACGAGAACCAAAAAAATCCAATCGGCCATTTTTGTCGTCAGTTGTTTTGATAAGGCTCAATCAAACTGCCAAACAAAAAATTGAAAAAGTGTAGTATCTTGTTTGTATGTATTATATTTTCACTATATCCAATATGGGCGACGCCGAAGTAATCCCTTTACAGGTTTGCCTACGATTCTGAAGCAAAAATAAGGTTAGATTAGGTATCGCTTCCGATCTTATAACGTTACACTTTTTACTAGTTTACTCACTCCAAAATAACCTGCTTCGGAAAAAAAACTAAAAATTATTAAATCTACTGATAACGATTTGACTTAAGATAAATAAGAACAAGTGTAATTAATGCAAATACTACTAAAGCACTAAGCATTAATTATCTGAGATTGATCGGTAATTAAAATAATGATTATTAATCGACTCCCCATAATCTAGGTGTTTTAAACGCACAAGTCCAGGACCTAAGTTATTTATGAGAGCAACAACCAAACTGAATGTTTTGTAGTTATTAATTTTTAATAAAATACGCGAAAACCTATAGAAAGTCCAATATTATGTTTACATTAATCATATAATCCAAACGTATTATCTACCTAAGTTTGTAACTAACAATATTTCTAATTCCGGTGTATTCCAGTATGTGTATTGTTACCTTTAAGATTACATGTTGTTTTAATTCTTAATATTTTTTATAGTTTAACGAAGAGAAATGCATCGTATGTGTATTCCTATTGTAATATTTGACAATTAGTGTTACGATAGCACAGAACGCAGATGCGAAAGATAAATGCTAAGCTTAAAGGGGGTTGAAAAAATACCGTAGTTTTACCAAAAATGCATTATGTATTTTTTTTTACCACGTCACCGTTCCATGAGTCATAACGAATCGTTTATTATATATTGCAGGTACAACGTATCGTTCATGATCATTACCTATTTCGTGCCAATCGGCCTAATGGGCTTCACGTACGCCATGATCGGCAACGAGCTCTGGGGTAGTCAAAGCATCGGCGAGTGCACACAGAGACAGTTAGAACACATCAAATCCAAACGACGGGTGAGTAAATATAAGATATTGGTAAGTATATATCACAAATACTATGCAATTGTTCTTTATGAAAGAATAAATGTAATTATTTATCGACAAGTGCGCTCGTCTTAAAAGGGTTAACGACTCCCACTGTTTAACTAAGAACGGTTTTGTAAAACCCCATAATTTTTGCTTCTTTTACAAATTTAAATTAAATCAAAGCGCATAGCTGTAAATTCGAGATACGTTTTTTCGCTAACGACATAGATTTACTGTCAACACCATAAACAGTATGACGTGAGAAAGAGATATTTTGAAGTTTAATCACGTAAGCTGTCAAATAAAATCAGTTTTTTATTATAAGCATAACACGTAAATACACACTTATAACACAAATATAAATAAAAATATATATTTTCTTGTTTATTCGCCAAAGACAAGGAGACCATTCATTTTTGACGCCTCGTTCGTTGTGATTTTAAGCGTTATACACAAAATTTGCAACATTAGAAAATGAATGCGTCAAAGACATATTGGTCTGGAATCAATATATTATACATATGTCTACTTTATATATATATATATATATATATACTTGCATATAGTGATAGACGCCGATTTCCATTTTCTAATCCCGGTTAGGCAAATCTATTTTTTTTAAAGCAAAAATATTACTTGGATCCCAGTTCAGTCGTTCGCCTTTTTTGCATTTCTTTAAGTAATAGTATTTTTTAAATATAGTATTAATATTTTAAGCTTAAAAACTTTTTGTTAAATTTATATAAAAAAAAATAACTCATTGTATAGAGAGCTAACAATATTTTACTTTAATCATTATACATTTGTAAGCTTATAGTTGACATGCAAGCTATAAAAAAAAAAATTGTATTACTTTTTACAAACTTAATGTGTGACTACAAACATGTGTATGGTTTTTAGTATGACCAATAACGGAAAACCATAGTATCAAATTTAATGACATTATTAAAAAATTCACATTTTTTTATACAGGGTGTTCCGGTACCGAACCATACGAATAAATGGGTAGACATCAGTGAGGTGTACAAATAAGACCCTCGCGTTGTCCGTTTTTTATTATCTCAAAAATTAAGGACTTAACCTCCTAAGCCTGAAAATAATAAATTAAAAAATAATTTAAAGTGTACTTTCGTAACCTATGCAAAATTCTCACTTTATAAGAGGGGCCACTTCATTTTTTAAGTTCGGAGCCGAAAGGGTCTGAGAATTATGTGACCCCTCTTTTAAAGTGAGGATTTCGCATATAATATGGAAATGAAAAAAACCAAAAAAAAGCAACACTGTAATTCATACTTTATCATCATAATTTGTTACTAGTAAATTTTTCACAAGATTTGTTTGATCAGTAATATATACATAAATCTATTTAGGTACACTTTTTTATATTATATAAATTATAAATTTGAATATCAATAAAGATGTATCCATAAAGTAATTGGAATAACATAAGAATAATTGAGTTTCAGTTGTTATTAGTATTTTTCATTCACCGGCGCATCATATCGGCAATTTAAGGGCATCGGTGACGGTGAGGTTTTAACGATTGGTGTATCTGAAATTGACATACTTTAATAACCTTTTTTTCTACTAAAGTTATTTTCATTGATAGACGGGAAAAATACTCATCGAAAGAATAGCCACTAAAAAATATCCCAAATTTAATATCTCCGGAAAAACGTATAAACTACTTATAAATCAATTTTCATTTTAATATAATAGCAACTATTGTAGAATAATAGTATAATATATATATAGTCATGTTAAATTTACCTAATAAAATACTAATTGTAATATTAAAAATAGAAAAGTTAAATTATAAGATATAATTTCTAATTACATTACCTACACATATTATAAAATTATAGAAGTTCTGTATTTTTTTATTATTCTGTTGTTAAAACATTAAATTAAATTTAGATAAATGAATTTAATAATTTATTTTTATTTTTTATGGTAAGTCTAATTGTCTTTGTAAGAATTTAGTTTCGTCGACCGCAATTTTTGAACGTATTTCTTCAATAAACTGTCAAATGCTTGAATAGGTTTAACTGAGAAGTTTAGAAACCTATTACTACGCCCTTCTGTTTGTTTGTTGATTTGTTCACCATCACTTATGTAGTTAAAGTAATATTTCCTTGGTCATTTTTTCAATCGGGTATTATTTTTCCTTGATCTATTGCCCTTAGTAGTTTATGTGTATCGTTATTGCACTTATAACTACTATATTATATACTAATATTTTTCTCCGTTAGTCTTGACTTGGTTGAACGCGCCCAGGTTGGTAAAGTAGGTATTCTTTTGAGAAATGTACATATTACCATACTAAGTATACGACATAGAAAAAATTAAAACACCTGATTAGTAGTAATATATTATTTTACTATTATGATAGAGAAAATATACTAATCGCGTCTCTCAACAGTGGCTGCTGTTTCCCTTTGCGTTCCACACAACACCTATATTAATACAAGTCTCATATAAGTCCTAAAAAATTGATGTCACAAAAAACGTCAAAAAAAAGATTAATAATAATAATACATTAATATTGTAATGATAAAATATTTTCAACGTGAGTTTCACCTAACCGAAACACCGATGATTAATGGAATAAATTAAATAGTCTTTGTTTTCGTTGGGACGAAAATATAAAAAAATATGACAATAAAAAAGTGAAACTTTAAAAAACAAAACATATTATCATTTTCCGACCGTGTTGATAATGATGTATTGTAATGTGCATTTACCATATTTGTCATTATTATTGTTTTAGATTTATAATAAAATAATAGCTACAGTTATCCATTACGATTTTTTAAAGTATATGTGCTCTTACTGTATAGCTTTGAGTATGCTCGACCGATTTAAGCGTAAATTATGTTTTATTACAAAAAAATCTTGGACTTATTTTTGTATGCATCATTGCTACCACATTTGTAATGCGATGGTGAGTTTAATGGTTTTCCGATAAAATATAACAGGTTATGTCCTGTACCTAATTAAGGAATTGAAATCATACAAAGTCTTAAACATTTTAAATGAGACTACTGTAACTGCACGCATTTCACTAATAAATAACTCTATATATGTCATAAGTACAGGTTCTTAATATGGCCTTGATAATTTATTGCGGTGACTAAAAAGCTATATTGAAGAGGTTTTTCTTGATTTTCTATTGAGATTTCATGACGTAATCTTTTTAAGAATATATTAATATCTGTCTGACATAAGAAATATACGATATCGCTACCATAATTATAATTATAGTGACTTTATGAAGTCCACCAATCATCATGTGTATCTATATAATTTATGTATAACTATGTTATTCTAATTTCTAGTTATTATTAATTATAAAACATTAGTTTGTTAGTTATTGCAACTTCGCAAACATAAGCAAACTACTCTAGAGTGGAGGATTTGATCCAACAAGTCGCTATTTTTATTATATTTCTTTACATTCTTCTCTTAAATTCTCTACGAACGACTACTATTATTTTTTATTAGGATCAAGTTTAAAAGTTTGAGAAAATAAGTAAGATATTATAGTCTTGCCAGGTCTAAAGGAGAAAATGTAAGTGTATAATACAAAATAGCCCGTCATAGTAACGATAGCGGGAATAGGTAGTTGAACGAATAGATAATAATGCTTTACCTAAATTATTATAAGCTGTCCTTTTGGTTGAAATATATTAATACATTTTAAAAACTACTGCTCTATAGGGGCTTATTGTTGGTTTCACTTAAGTATATTACAATGTTGCCAGAACATCTTCAAAAACACCTAGGTTCGTACAATGATTTTGAATAATATCTGGTCGAGTGTAGCACGATAAATCTAGAGGCCCGTTGTGGCTATGGTCTGTGGAAAACAAATTAATCGTTTGTGGGGCTATTGACTGCCAGGGTATTTGTACAGTCAAGAAAAGAAGGATATAGACCGCGGCTTATTTTTTTGTATAAATAATAACTCCTACCTAATCGACCTAATATTTTAGAAATGTAAAATATAAACATTTCTGAGTTTACAATATTATAAAAAAATTAAAAACTAGAAATATTTTTTTTTTTTTAAGTTAAATTTTAAACTTATGATTACATTACCATCTGTAGTATTTAATGGTAATTGGTAATACATACTACTTTTTAGTTTTTATAAAAAATTAAACAAAACATTTGACAAATGCGTTTCATATTTGAGTTAACTTTAAAATAAGCTTTGCGTCTAATAAGTTAAGAGTTATTCGTGGTCACATCAAAATATCATTTATATGGGCGCGATGAAACTAGAAATAAATAAAGAAAAATTTGAATTATGAAATCTCGTGTCAGTCAATGGTATCATTTAAAAGTATTCACTCCATGAACGTTTATTTAAACTTAATTCTGAAAAGGAGACCACAAAGTTTCTCAGGTATAATTTATTACTTTTTAATTACTTAGAGAAACAATGGTGCACTCCGAAAATAACTCAAAAATGTTTAAAACAAAGTAGTATAAATTATTATGGTGTTTGTGTTATTTTTTTCAAAATAGTTCAGAACATACATATTAAGTCGATGACATATAGTACATAAATTGATGGCTTAAGATTTTTATTTTATAGGAAACATTTTTACAAAGTAACATATATTTATTACATGTCTGTGACTTCTAACCTCAAAAATATGAATCTCTGGCTTTCAATATTATTACAAAATGTGCATTGGATATCACTTGCTGTAGATTATTATAGAACTTTCAATTTCCTATACTTATATTCCACTTGTAAAGAGTGTCCCAATAAGAACGTCAGATTAAATTTAATTAATTAACAATTAGTTATATACTAATAATAATAATAATAATTATAATTAATTAATTTAATCCAGCGTTCTTATTGGGATACCCTATGGCCTATACAATATGCCGTCAAAATATATTATATAAAATATAAACAGTCGATATCGACAAAGTTTTCCTCCCTCACAAGTCATAAATACATTGCTTTCTTTTCAATGCATTTATAATAATTAAACATAAATTATCAATATAGTAAAACACTAAACATAATGATGGATTCTTGTTTTAAAAAAATTTTGATGAGAAACAAATATCAGTTTAAAATTCAGCATCACACTGATTTTTAATTTTACAGCTGATAAAATATACTGTATAAACGGTTAAACTAAGTAAGCTTACTTGTAATACTTATAAAAAAAACTAAGGTGAAATGTTTTAAGCATTTACTACGATTATGAATGGAAACTTTATACATAGTATTTACTACATTTATATTTATTATCTATTATTATTACTTTTAAACTAATACCTGACTACCTAAATTTGTGTTTTAAAAAATTTTAAACTTGAATAATGAAGTAAAAATATGAGTAAATATTAATGGAATCACTATCGGTCATATATTATAAATTTAATGAAAAATAAGTTAAATATTCATTTCTTTATTTAAAACATTGCCATAACTTTAATTTTTAAATACTGACTTCGTGCTTTAAAGTAGGAAAGACAAAATACTTCATACATGTTCAGGTCTATCTCCATTGATTTTGGTTCTTATTTTTACCATATTATTTGTAAATAGAAAACTTTATTTATTTAAAATTGTATTTTTCATAAAAATAAATAGTTTTATTTATTCTAATATATAGCTTTGTCTATATTTTAGAAATCGCTTAATATTTAATATTAAGCAATTTATTAGTAAGTACATAACTTTAAAATAGATTCATAAATTAAAACATATACTCTTCTTATGAGTTCAATGAACTATTAAATTGAAAATTAAATAATTCTAAGTCTAACTTTTAAACTGAACAATATATGCGTACATAATCGATTGATATGATTTTATTGGCTATGTTTGTTTTACAATTTTGTATTAATATCAATTTAGTCAAAAGCCTAAAAGTTTTGTAATACCTTTTTTTAAAGTACTTTCTATGTTTTTTATCCTCGAATAATTAAGGTATAACGTATCATGACTGAGTGCCCAAAAACTATATTCAGCACGTAAATTCACAGTTCGACTGGTAGTTGTTACTAGTTTGTTTTCTGGAGCATTTCAGTCATAATTACCTAAGCCCCTAAGCATTCCAGGTACAAACAAATTCACAAGAGAAAAGTATCTAAATTAAAATGTAAAAGTTAAAACTTCGTTAAAAACATCATTAAAAACACAATTACCGGTAAAGGAAAAACATTATACCAGGGTAGCTGATGGGTCAAACTAAAAATACTCGAGGGTGAGCAGAATTGTTTTTAAAATTCGTTTCATGTTAATAGTGTTAAATGCTTTAAATTATTGTCCTTTTAAAAAAAATATTTAGAATATTAAAAGTTATAAATTTAAATAATGGGATTAAGATGTCGTTTGGATTTTTTAATGGTAATTAAAACTACTTTTATAACAGCTTTTTACAAATCAATGTTGTGATTGTTGGGTACAGAAATACATTTTTCTCCTCAAATGTGTACAATATAATTATTGACAGTGCACAGTTCTGATTAAAATCTATCAAAAGTCAAATTTTAATCATTTTTATATTTAGGTAATAAACGTATTAACAGTTGAAATTTTTACTAAATGTTTAGTTTTTACATTTTTTTACTTAAAACAATATTTTTTTCTAAACATTATTTGTACATGGACAGTTTTTTCTGTCATTTTTACCAGAATACAATTACTTGAAATTTCTTTGATCGCCATTAGTTTTCAGTTACTTAATAACCAAAATAATTTTTGTTTACCCATTTGATAACACGGCGTTTGAAGTGTTAGTTGTAGTTTTAATTTTAAAAACTAATTACGATAAAAAAATAATATTTGGACGAAATATATGTTAGAAAACGTTTACACTCTTTAGTATTTATTATGATATTTATATTAGAAAGTCCTTACGTGGATTTTTCCCTTTTTATAACTAGAGACAAGTCTTCAATGAATCTATTACACCTAATTCCTTAGCAAGAACACCTAAAGAAAACGAGTATACAAGGTGCTTGAACTTCTATTATAAATTGATTTATGGAAACCGATTTTTTTAGTTGTCTGTCACACAAGTGAAACATTTTTTTTTTCAGTTATAAAGATAAAATTGCTTGAACGTATTTTTTGTTGGCAAAAACTGTTTTTCTTTGCTTGAAAATATAAATAATAAGCGTTTCAGTCACCCGATCATCGTTATATTATAATATGCTGTACTCGACTTTTTCCACCGGGTGTAATCATATTCGTTGGAACGGTCTTTGTGCGACAAGCATGTTACGGTTGCGGTGCATTCACCGCTATAATTTATATAAATAATCATTAGGTATTCATATCTATGTATACCATCACATAAAATACTACATACGTATACATATAAATGTGTATTATTATTTCTTGAGGCTCGAACGCACGTCATTGGGTTTGGGTGAAACTTCCTAACCCGTATCACAATATTAATGTCGTTTAGGAAAGTTTAGATAGATTTGTCGGTCAAATCTGCGCCTGACAAGCCAAAAAACAATACTTACTCTTGACTGGAGTTTCGTCTCCCAATAATATTATTTTGCATTATATGATTTCGATAATTTCACAATTCGAACAGTTGTACCGTTTCACGTTGATTGCCAATAAAATAACGTGTAGCGTAGTACGTTACGTTTGTTCGTAACGAGTATAGGATTTAATCATATATTGTGTTCTTATAACACAATACATTTAAGTTTAAACTACTTTTATTATTTCCATTTCACGTTTCTAACGCCAGTGGAGTGTCATAATCCTTCACCGTATGTACAGCTCGAATATTTTGTCGAACTTTATTAATTTACCAAAGCGAAGTAAGTGTGTTATTATGTGTATTGTATAATACATGGCACCGTGTGACATGCCAATAATTTACACTCGAAATCTGATGGCCTATTATTTTACGCGTGATAATGTCAAACTTTAGGCACGTTCTCGGCGCCAGGCGAGAAAATTAATGAGCAGGAATTTTCAACTGTAGTTCTGAATCAATTAGGCACCGGGCCGTACATACAGATAAGAGGTTTAATTTTCATCCTTGACCTCGATTCGGTGTCCCGGAGACGTTTTTTCGTTAATAAAAAACAAAGTGATAATGCACGTTCTTTCGAGTGTTTTCTATAAAATCATAAACTTATATAACGAGTTTATGAGAAAAGTTTAAAAGAAAACTAAGAATACAAAAATGTTAGTTTTTTTTTATAACGATATAATATTTTTTTCCTCTGCAGCAATTCAATTGAACAATTCAAATTATAGTGACTGTTTTTAACAATTGTGGGAATATTAGACTTTCATCGTTAGAGATGCACATGTTTTATACCGCAGCCAAGGAAAATATTTTACAATATTACGAAAAATTAATTAAAACATAATGAAAAAAATATATCTATATATTTGTTGTGCGTTAAGTAAATTAATAATTACTCAGTCACTTATACAGTAATTGGTTTCAAAATTTAAGCCCAGAGGTCTTTTACCTCTCATTTCGGCCACCAGTGCTTGTTTAATAATTCGGCCATCTGCCCTCCATACATGTCCTAACTATTCAAGTATTTTGCTTCTCGTATATGAAAGAATAATAATTTGGTCTTCCGTACAGCCCTTGTAATTCGTTATTATGTCTTCTTTCAAATTGTTCTGTTTCTCTGTTATATAGAGGGCCATACATTTTTACATTTTTCTCTCAAAGGTAATTAGGCTCTGGTGGTTTCCCTTGATGGTTGACCATGTCTCACACCCATATGTTAGGATCGGTCTAAGGTCTAACTGGTGTATAGGATTTTCTTTGTTCATAAGATAGATTTTTTGATTTAAGTAAGTTTAATGAACTAAAATAGCACTTGTTAATCTATTTTTTATTTCATAATGCATAATATTTGCACTGTTCATGTTTACTCCGAAGTACGTGAATTGATTAACTTTTTCGCCCATATAATCTAACGTGAAGTTAACTACCATAATTTTAAACGATGAGATATTTTTTTAAAACAAATAATATAAAATTCGACAAACAAGACGTTGATTTTAAAATTTATTGGAATGACAAATAGAGGTAGGTATTAAAAACAGATTTCATGATATTTATAGTGGGTACACATTTTTGTTTGCGTTTAATATTCACAAGAGTTACACCCATTATTCTATCCCTGTTCTAGAAATTTAATTTTTTCATGACACGATTTATTAGGTGATTTGTATGTATCTGTACAATTAATCATGGAATTTAAGCTATTGTACTTTATTACTAAATAATACCATTTGTGTTGTATTGTTGACTATAGTAATTTTACTCAAGCTCCCTTTTTTCCTCGACACAATTTATTCATAACTTATCTTATTTATTGCTAAAGAATTTTAATAATTTAATATGTAATAAATATTAATTTGTATTGCTTTACCTGAAACTTAACCCATAATCGATATTTATACACTCACATTATTATTAACTGGAGTTTATTATTAAAATAATATGTTATATTTAACATATTTCTTTAAAAAAATGTTATCAATTTTATAGCGGTTTTATCAAAAATCCGGGTAAAATTCCGGACAAATTTCATATTTAGTTTTTTAGTTAAAAATAAATGTTCTAAAGTAAAACGTGTTTCTCTAAATCGGATGATCACAGTTAAAAAAAAAAAAATAAAATATTTTTCAGTAGTAGCGTAAACGCGTATTTCGGTAGCAATGCTACCATCATCAGCGCTCACTGAACATTTAATTTGTCGGTTTTAATCATATTTGCCCGTTTAGTATAAAAATCAACCCTCCACCCCCTTGTCCCTACTTAGATACATTCAATTAATTTTATTATTATGTTTTGGTTCAGGTGGTCAAAATGATGATTGTCGTTGTGACAATTTTCGCTATTTGCTGGTTGCCGTACCATATATACTTTATCGTCACATCTCACATGCCGGAACTGATCACTGAACCATACATACAGGACGTGTTTTTGGCGTTTTACTGGCTCGCAATGTCCAATTCCATGCACAACCCGATTGTCTACTGTTGGATGAACTCCAGGTAAATTTTTGTTTCATCTACCTATTAAATCGTTTAAACAAAAGACACTAAAAAACGTCTGATGAGTTGTTATGCTTCGTGCTCTAATGTAAATAATCGACAAAACTGTGTGTAAAAATAAACAATTGCCGAGATACTTAATATAACTGTATTATTGTCAAAACTTTGCCAATCCCTATCAAACGGTCGAGCTACTATAATATTATTGTTAATTGGAGCGAAATAAGCATAAGACCGGCTTTCCCGACACTATCGCTTTGTAGAGATTGTAACTATATATCTGTAACACCGAAGACTGAGTAATAAACCCTTTGCTTTGATGCCAAATGAAAGGTCAGATTAGCTTTTGAATGATATTATAACGTAATTTAATTCCCAGTCCACAAAACCTAATTATGAACAATTCATTTTTTTATGTCTATAGAATTTGTTCAAAATATTATACACAATATTTGTTGCACATGTCAAATTGACCAACACAATCTATAGCTAAGGACATTTAGATGTTTCAAAAAACTCCATTTAAATTGACCATGTGATTATTTCAAGTAAAATTCATAAATCGCTACTGTGCGTTTCTCATAGAATACAATATTAATTAGCTGTATAAAGCAAAATACTAGTTGATTGAGGATGCTAAGCAATAGATTTTGCTTTATAATGACATTACACTCAACAATAATGTACACACTTAGCGATAATATAATAATAAAATTTCATTTAGTGGTGCAGACAATTCTAGTTTCTGTTCTCTAAGTTTTACATCGACAAGATAAAGCTCGTTCGAATGATTTATAAATTTAAACTTGCTCGGGTCCTACCTCACGTAGAAAGAAATTATATTAGTACTTACAAACTGCTTTCGACTTGATTTGGACTATTGAAGTTCATCAATTCCAAGCTGTTTGCTTTCTAAAATACCTTCAGATCTGTAAGAGGGAGAAGAGAAAATGTGTTTTACACATATTTCAGCTTCGATATATTATACTAAATTTGTCACACATCCCTAATAAGTTTTATGATTAAATGACTCTGCACTTCGAGTAGTATAATATATATTTCCAAATTTGTATTGTGTAAAGAACAAGTAACAGATTGATTATTTCCGACGAATAAAAAGGAATACGATTTAAATAATATATCACTTTAAAAGCAGAATGAAGCTTAAAAGTCAAATACTTTGACGGTAAAAAGGGAAATAAATGAGATTTGGGTAGGGTCCACGATCAATGTCGCACTAAAAGATAGCATTGGACGAATAAGATTACAGTATGAATAATGTATCCAAAAAAGAACCCAATTAAAAATGTCGGATAAAGTCACGAATATACAAGTAAGTTTGAAACTGAGGTATAAAAAATGCTTTTCGCAAGCTAATGATCCAATTACTATATATGGGTTCGTTTTACAATTTTTTACTTATGGATAACATTTTATTCACTTCCGTTTTTTCCAACAAAATGGGAAATCCGTTTATGGGTGTCGAAACTTTGTAATTTTATTTACGTTTGTTAATACTGACAATCACATTAAAATAAATTAAGGCCTATATTATGTACATAAGAGAACCTGAAGTTGTTTGTGCTCTGATATTTTTTATTATATTATTCATTTATAACAATATGTAATCTAGTATTTATAATTGTACTTTATTATACTAAGTTATCTGAATTGTTTACCGTACTATATTATAAGGCCATACTCACTTTAAAATCAATTATTTTGATGATTTCGTTTTTATTTTTAAATTTCTCTTTTTACGATTTTATTCAGCTTTATACAGCTTTTATTTTTTTAAATAGACTAAGAAATTTAGTATTGTACAATATTGAAAATGATATTCTATGGCAGTAAGGAAAACAATTTTACTTTGGTAGTGTATCGTTCGAGTCAAAAGTTGTTAGGGTCAGTTGACGATAAGTTTGTTCTGGGTGTACAATAGACTTGTACAGCGGACCTGTTTCCAGGATAAGAAGGAATAATCTACGGCGGCTACAACAGTCTACAAGTTTTAGCTGAGTTCTGACGTTAATTTTGTCGTGTACCAGTGTTTTAATATATTATTTATAGTACAAACATACGCTTAAAAATTTAAAACTTTAAATTCGCCATAGTAAATAAATAGCCTATTCGTATGCATATTAATAGCAATGACTTTCTCGAATCGGCTAGGCGGGGTACAGGGTCCTTTGGTGTGATTTATTATATTATCTACAGCGTAGAACCGTTTTTTAGTCGGCGAGATGCGATGTTCATAATTAAACAACTAATGAATAATATATTATATTATCATAAAGCCTAAAATTAACTACGTGTGGTTGTTTCTGGTTGAATGTGCGGTTTGTTTTTCTTTTAGCAGCCGTTTATTGTGATTAACGAGGACAAAGTTTGTGCGACACGGACAAGCGGTAGGTACGTTGCAGCGACAATAACACTATTACGGTTAGATTGATGAAGACAGTTAAGTCGTCGACGTTATACATGATACATCGGACTGAAAAACATCACGGTAACCACCTGTTTTGGTCACCTTTTATCAACGTGCGCATTTAGCAGAAAACTATAGTAGCTTAACCAGCTAAAATAGATGGTTCATAATGGATATTATTATCCAATAAACTGTAATAATAACAATAATCGAAATTTACAATCGATAAGTGATAACGCTATCGTTTGTTGAACCGTTTGTACTATTCATTTGTAAATGAAGACTTCAAATAAAGAACACCAACTTGCATTATTTGAGAGGCCGTCACTTTAAAATTGAATATTTATTAAATAGGTTTCTTTTAGGGTTAATGATTAAATTCACGCCATGTTACGCTTAATTGAGAATAGAGAGTTGCGTGCATCATTATGAGGTATGGGTTTTTTAAGTTAGTCCACTTTTAAATACTAACTTACATTCTTGTTATTACTATTTTTACTGATCAACTTTTAGGCTTGTAGTACTGTCAGGACATTTGTCTAGGAACTTTTATTCAATTATTTTTACTTTATTTTGAAGTAAGACGGTTCCAGATGATTTGTCAGAGTCGCTACGATTTCTTATTTAAATGTTGTTGTTTCTATAAGATGACTATGTTATTATTCTGTCTTATTAATAATCGGTAATAGGCGTTGCTCTTTGCTACTCATTTTATTAAAAAGTAACAAAATAATCGTTTTATCTTTAATATAACATGTTATAAACGTCGTTGTCGAAAGAATTTATGACACTAATAATAAAAGCGACAGTTTTTAATAAAAAATCGAAGGGTAAACTCCATAAATAAATAATACGCAATCAAGCGATTAAGCACGGTGCTTGCAGTCTAAACAAATTAAACAGAGCGTACCAGTACACAAAAATGTCGGTCATTGGTAATGTGACATTGTGAAGGTGTTGAAAATTCACTTTTAATAATAAAATACTAATAGTACAATCTCCTTGATCGAAAGTCTGCTTCTTTATTTAACCGACCTAAAATCTTTATAAAAACAATTCACATTGGATATATCCGTGGTACTTGGGTAAAGTATATTTACAAAATATGTGGTGGGTTTTTATTTCTAATAACTCCGGCCTAGTCTAGACTCTAGTTCATAAGACTTTAAGCGCTCAGAACGTCTGGTGTCTTTCCAATTGTCCAATAATACTTATATATAGGTACTGGATTAACGTGGAATCCCACAGCCTTGCTTCGTGTAAGTACAAACTTTGTAATTCATCTACTACTATGAGTAGCTTTAGAGTCTTTATAACTGGGAGCCATTTATTATTTATTAATTTATTGTTTTAATATTACCAAATGTCACTAATTAGTCCTTTTAAATGGTATACACCATATTTTTTAATTGATACAACCTATTGCACTGGTTTGAAATTTTCAGTTTACTGCTTAACTAAGAGAGTCTGTAACTTTTGGCCTACCTCGTTTGTCTCTATTTACTTACATTTACTAAATATAAATAATAACTTTGTTTTGTCTGTAATAATAAGTTTCTCAGGCTGATTATTCGTGGTAAATGGGATGGAAACCCGTAAAATGGTCAACTATTTGGAAATGAAACAAACTATATAGTGTCCACCGAAGTCACGCAGAAAAACATTCTTTGTTTGACAGAACTAGCAAGCCCAACTGATTTAATGATGCTCGTTTTTGTCATGTGAAATGATTTTATTATTCTCGTTCGTAAATCTAGGGTAAACGTTTGCAGGTGGTTGTTATGCATTCGAAAGAACTGAAGCAATTTTTACATCTTTACCCCTGGCTGCCTCGAAAAACAAGGGTTTATTACAAATAATCACAAAATTATTTTAATGCATCTGTCTATTTTTTTTTTTATCTACGTACAGAAAATTTGTCATTTTTCTATTATATTAATTTATATTTATTGTACAAATAACCGTCTAAAGCAAAAATATTATGTAAACGTCACAATATACAAATAGTGTTTTAATCTCTAATGCATATTGATCATAAATTCAAATCTTTACGATGTAATAAGTAACGAACCGATTGATAAAAACTAAAAATTCAAACGTCAATAATAAAATTAAATTTTTTACTACACATATATCGAATTCAAAATAGGTGTTCTCATTTGAAAATGTGAAGTACGTGATATTTTAACGTAGAATGGATAAAGTTAAAAATGTCCACAATATTAAAAAATATAGTAAAACTTATACAAAAAAAAAAATAGGAAAACAAATTTTCAAAATATTCATACATTTGGAGAAAATAAGTGTCTTACGCTATTTGGATCACCCTGTATATATTTAACATTATACATGACACTGTAGATTACTCTAACATATATTTTAATTTAGGTAAGATTCCCAATTAGGTACAAAATTGTACGTGTATTGTTGTATTTACTTTTAGAGAAACAAATTGAACAACGCTAACTGTAACGAGATTTATAATTTAATAGGGTATTCTAGAAAATTTAATATCTCCAGAAACTCAAATTTGACAGGAAAGAAAAAAAACTAACATAATATAAAAATAATT